GCAGTTACGAATGCGTTGGCGACCTTTTGAGGATTCGATTTTGAGATTTAGGGATTGGGAAGGGGAAGGATTAGACCTCCTGTAACCTCACTCACACGGCGAAACACAGCGCTATGGTTGTTTCACACCGGTTTTCAGTGAGGTCGTAAACCCCCCCATTCCCAATGCCCACTAACACTAACTACTAACAACCCACAAGAGCACTTGCAATTCCATAGTAATACAAGTTTCCATTGGCGGCGCCGATTGCTAACCTACCGTCAAATGATCCGCTTTTTAGTTAGCCGGTCTATCCCACAAAAATACCGCATTCAAGAACCAAATGAAAAGACATAGGTAGGTAGGTACTGAGTACTACTTGGTTTAGCACTTACATTCGCTAGATAATTTGGTGCATTCAGACGAATAGTTCTAAATCTTTACCATACTCCATTGTATTTTAAGTACCTACTACTTATATAGGTATTAAATTACCAAAATAATTTATTTGTATTAAACACAACTGAATAACTACATAACACAGTTTGATAGGTAACCACTCTATACAGTTTTATTTTAATTACCTAACTTTACTTTCTAAAAAACGTACCTAAATATTGCAAAATATGGCGCGTAAAAATTTCGATTCCCGCCATTCATTGATCTAAGTGAGTAGGTACTTACTTAATACTTCCCGCCAATTCACGAACTCGCTATTAGATACGCTGACTAATAAAATAACTAAGAACAAAGTAATTACGAAATAGGAAATAATAACACAATTATTTTTAGAATTCGATTAAATTATCACCATAAGGTTTGATTTATAAAATACCTAATTTAAAATAAAGGAACATATTTTGCTCCACTTACCGATAGACGCTTGCAAGTTTTATAATAGCTGTCAACAAGGCAAAGACACAAAATGTAAACAGCCAACTGCCACCGTCCACCCGTGACTCTACAATGCTTATGGCCAACAATCCTTGTCACACTAGGCACTGACGCGAAAATCGATCACCAATCAAATTGACGTTAATTATGTATGTCCGGCGACACGGTGTACTTTTTTTTAATTCATTTATGTTATGAAATAATTTTGTAAGTCCACAGATTCAACATGTGAACCGCTTAAGACGAAAAGATAAAATGACTCAAAGGCATTGAATGTACGTAGACGATGTCCTTGCTCCTTATTTGGCATAAGACGTGCATGTGTGTTGCACTTTTTCTATCAATTTACATATTGTTTTATCTGCGGAAAATACATTTTACATGCACCTTTGAATTTTATTTTCGCGGCTATTTATATTTATGTGGGACGTGTTAATCCAATAATAAGTAGGTAGGTACATATTATGTTCAATTTAGAATAAGAATAAATTACAGCTTTATTTATCAAACAGTCAACAAAATTTTCCTTAATACTTATAATATGTAATATAAATGTTGTAAGTACTTAATATCATTCAATATTTTCTACTCTACTTCGCAATTCATAGCGAATTAAACAGTAGAATACTTATAGCAGTAAATTATGAATAGCGAGAAGAAAGGCCTTTACTAACCATGATTTTGGAAGCATTTACAAAAACAATGTAGGTAGTATATTATACATATAAGGTTACATACCTTACATAACAAAACTTTTTAAATCCATGGTGAAAAATACTAAGTACTAACTAAACCCTGAACTTTTTCTGTTGTTGGGCAAATCTTTTTTATTACCTACTTCTGTATCCAATCCCATCTCACTCCTTGGTGAATACAATCTAAAATATTTTTTTATTGCATATCAATAAGAAACTACTGACGATTTTTTGCGACTATTCACTATAGTCACAATCACAAGTACATATTTTAACAAAAATAATAGGTACTTTCTTTTATACAAAATGGAAGTTTAGTGTTCTATGAACGTAGGTACGTAATTATTTTAATAATTTTATTAAATTGCTTATAAATATAAAACCGAACACACTGTATTATTACGCAAGGCCAAACCGTCTGCTTTCTCTTATAAAAAAAAAAAATATTTTATTATTTTCCCTACTACCTAAACTCTCAACTAAAATTGGAAATAGCCAAGCATGTTTCTAATAATATGGAAATATTGACATAATTATGTCAAGTATTTTTTATCGAGCAAACAAAAGTTCACAAAACGATCCATCATACCTTATCAACAAAAAATACAATTTGTTGTTTCATGGTGATCATAATAGACGTAGCTTGTAGGTAATTAGTATTGTTGGAAACCTCAATAATTTATTTATTGTAGTGGACAAAATCGATTTTTTTCTAGGCCTGTCTTTTCTGTCGAATCTTTGTACCTAAAATTATACTTATATATTTTTAATCATTCGTTCCTTATAATCCGCAGATAAAGTCGATGACGACCAAGCAATCGTACAAAAGATCGATTTCAACTCAAACGAAGTTTTTAACCGTTACAATTTTTAACGCTGCAAATGAATAGTCTATGGCGTTGGTATAATTATTGCTATCCACGGGTATCATGGCATGAAATATCGATCCATGGTTCTACTGTAGACAAACATACGTTTTCAAGGACAGTCTCCTCATGCATAATTTACGTATGACAAGTATATCTAGGGTGCGACCTGAATAACCTAGAAGACATCTGGAATGGCGCAGTCGGTGTCCTCGGAAGGGAAACGTAAATAAACCTCTTTATCCTAGCTTCATTTCCTAGGTAAAGTCACAGTAAAGAGATAGTGCGTACTTAAGCTGTTCCGCTGTTTGCATGTTTTATAGACAAAGGGAAAGGAAATTCAACCATTGCACGAAAGACCTCGTATCTACTGACGTATGAAAACACATTCAAATTTATTAGGTACGTACCTATTTTGGGTCAAGTTTTTTTAAACTGTGTCCCTGTACTAGAATAAGAAATCACGTTTCGTTGAGGTGTGTTTAAAAAAAAAAATCAAATACGCATCACACCAACGCCGGAAATAACAATCTCACAAAGAGTGGTTCCGTATGGGAAACGAACCCGAGACACGTTAAGCAGTAGGTACCTAGTCATTTGGCCAGCCAAAGCGCCAACCATGCAGGCAGAGGTAAAAAAATTCACCTCTTAATCTTCATAAATTGGTCTTATGCGACGTAGTGAAAAGCTAAGGATTTTTTTGTGGGTAGAAAATCATTGAATGAAGTGTTAGGCTCTAATAATCGGGCACGCTACTATAGCAGCGGTAAGACCCCTCTTTGAGGAGTGGCTTGAGAGACGCCACGGCGTCCTCACCTTCCGCCTGACGCAGGTGCTTACCGGGCACGGCAGCTTTGGTAGGTTCCTGTTTCGGATCCAGCGGGAGGAAACGCCCGAGTGTCGTCATTGTGCGGATCACCTGGAGGACACGGTGGAGCATACGGTGGCGGAGTGCCCTGCTCGGGCTGAGCACCGCCGTGTTCTCAGGGAAGTGATCGGCGGCGGCGACCTCTCGCGCCCGGCCTTAATCGAGGCCATGGTGCAGCGTGAGAGGAACTGGGAAGCTATCTCCTCCTTCTGCGAAGCAGTTATGCTCGCAAAGGAGGAGGCGGAGCGCGTGAGGGAACTATCCTCCTCGCGCCCCAGCCGCCGCAGAAGGCGACATTCCGGACGTCGGGGATCGAGAGATGATCTCCGGCCACCGTAAGCGCGGGTCTGCGGACGGCGAGTAAGGGTAGCTCGCCACCCGACCAGAACCGGACCCAAGCGTACGGCGCGTAGCGTTCCGCGCGCGCCTCAAAGAGCCAATAGACCACCACAGTCGGGGTCCTAAAGGGCTGATGTTTAGCCGGGGCTGCGGGGTAAGCGCAATGAGGCACCGCGACCTCGGCCCAGAGCAGGAGAAGGAACGGGGGGGTTTTTAGTCAGTAAGAGTCTGACACTCTCTCTCGCCTTACCCTGGGCGGGAGAAGTCATTGGATGATTTTCCCCTGACAAAAAAAAAAAAGGCTCTAATAATAATCTCCCGTTCCTTCTCGTGCTCCAGGCTAAGGCAGGCTGTACGTTCGCCTTTTTTATAAATTAAGAACAAGACGCTACTTGCTAGAATCACGTCAGATATTCTATTACATAGATAATAAAATGTAATCAAGACTGGTATCAAGCAATTGTCCAATTGAACATTTATTGGTTAGGAGTAGGAGCACCTACTTCTGAGGTAAACACGATGTTCCTACCTATCAGATGCAATCTTCAATGAAATGAAATTGGTACCCAACTGCGTAGGCTAGACCTAACAAAAGTACCTATCTAACATTCTGAAAACAGTATTTTAGTCATAAAAAAAATGATGATTTAATTATTTGGTAGGGACTTATCAATGTTCTAAGCTATTGTAATTAAAGTCATAGGTACGATTTGTAGTAAAGTCATTATTTTATTTATACTCAACTGAGATCGTTGAGGAAGGTAACAAAATTATTTTTAAACTTACCCGCCATTGAGGCGCTGCTCATTCTTCCGCGTGTAAAATCAATCTTGACCAAATTAATTAAACTGAATCTCAAATAAATCTAGGTACAACCCAATAAATATTTTGATAGGTAAGCGATAGATAATTGACAGCCAACTCTTTTTATAAAACTAATGACGGGCTTCATAATTTAATTACGCTGCCAATAGTTTTAGTTGTAAATTGTTAAAAGGATTTTGAATGACTTTCAAATCATGTATATTGTTAAAATATTAAGATTACATATATTTAATTGAACTTATTATGCTGTGAGAAAAAGTAAAACTAAAATCACTAGTAATTAAATACGAGTAAAGTGAAACCCGTCTTTTTATTTTCAAGGTTTATCTTACAAACTAATATGAAATAATAATAAATAAAACGCACGCAAATATAAACTAATAAAACGCAAAAAATACACGTCTACATTAATAACATTAAAGAATATCGCAATAAAAACAAATATGACTTATAGACTACCATGGCGTAGCATGTAGTAAGTATTTGTGTTGTCAATGTCAAATGTCACATGATGACAATGACAATACATGTGACAAAATAGTTATTTACCTTCAGTCAGGTTATGTTTGTGTTTCTATTTCGTTTAAAAACAATAATAAATACTTCAACTTACTTACTTAAATACGCGAATTGTGGTTAGTCAAGGAGATATTGTTCACTATTAACAAAATGGCACCAGGAAAAAAGAAGGTACACGGCAAACGTTCTAATCATCACGTTAAGCGGGAGTATGCGGAGAGATTGAACGACTTGAGGCTGGAATCATCAGGAGACAGCAGTAGTGACGGCAGTAATAGTGACTCAGATGGTGAAGGTGTGGCTCCTACATTCCCAGTAAGCATGTGGGACTTGAATCATTGCGATCCTAAGAAGTGTTCCGGCAGAAAACTAGCACGACACAACCTCATCAAAAACTTGAAGCTTGGTCAACAGTTTAGAGGGCTTGTGTTGTCACCGGTTGGCAAACAATGTGTCAGCCCCAACGACAAGGAAATTATTGAGAAATTCGGACTAGCTGTTATTGATTGTTCTTGGGCCAAAATAGATGAAACTCCGTTTGATAGAATGAAGTCACCAAATCCAAGGTTGTTACCATTTTTAGTGGCTGCAAACCCTATAAACTATGGTAAACCATATCAGCTGAGTTGTGTAGAAGCTTTAGCCGCTGCTATGGTTATCACAGGACACAGAAAAGAAGCCCAATTCTATTTATCCAAGTTTTCATGGGGACATTCGTTCTTAGAACTCAATTCAGAAGCTTTGGAATTATATGCAGCATGTACTGACAGTAAAAGTGTGTTAGAAGCACAAAATACATATTTAGAAAATGTAAAAAATGAAAAAGATGATAGAGAAATGTGGCCGCCAACTGAATCTGATACGGAAACTGAATCTGAAGATGACAAATCTTAATTAAATGTTCATTAGTTACGTAAGTTATTTTATAAAATAAAATATTGTGCCCTGATGAGAACCATTATGTAATAAAAATATTTATTGTTATTATCAAAGTATAATTTTATGTAAAATAAACTTTAACTTTTTTAGTTACCAGGCTATGTTATTTACAAAGTAAGTACACTGATCCGATTTCTGTGACCTAATCTTAAATAAAATTCTAATTCCTAATCAGTGACTCAATCCAAAGGTCTGTAAGAAATCGTATTTAGCGATAAGACCACCCATTGTACATTTATGTCTTAAGTTATCCTGTTTATTTTTATGGTCTACAATAAAGTATAATAAATAAATAAACTAGTAGGAAATGTAAGCAAATGTAAAAATACATCGTTTAATAGATTATGAATTTAAGTGTTTTATACATACAATTGAGATCTCAAAATGAAATTTGAGACTAATGATTTCCTGAAACAAACTGATTAAATATCCTTTATAGTTTAAACTTTTCATTAGTTTCTGAGCCTGTCTTATTCTATTACACCTATATATTTTCCTAAAATAAAAAGGCGACCTCTAGCAGATAATTTTGAAAGCTAAATCAAACTAACCTAACCTTCTAAGTTGAACGCCATCTATGGCGCATACTATGCACTAACACAAAGTTCAGACTAACGTAAAATAGAGGGAGCTACCGATCACGGTGATAAAGTTTTTTGTTGTGGGGTTCCAAGTTTGCGCCCGGTTGCCCGCTAGTTTGCTTTTGCTTTCCATGAGTGAGGGTCGTGTTGTTGTTCGTGTTGTGGGTGTTATAAACTCGCGGATAACTTATTTCTCACTTACTTTTATGTGTGTTATGTTTGTGAATGTAATTGTGCAGTGAATGGTGTGTGTGTGTAAATTATTTTGGAACTTGGAACTTTTGGAGGCTTTTACTTCTAGAACTTCGGTAAGTTTGTCCGTTGACTTTATGCAACCTGTCACGCAGGTGTCTCGCAAGTCACAAGTCACTAACCTCTGATGAATACCTAAAAGTTTTCTTGAGATGCGTCCGTTTGATCCGATTTGTTTCATCCCTATGTTTCGTTAAGTTCAGTTGCGACCGGTTGGTTAATACGCGTTTTAGAGTATTTGAATTGAGTTTAAGTTTTAGAAGCTAGCGAGACGTTGGAGCGGTATGAAATGAAACGTAGAGGCCTGTTTCAATACTAAGTTTTTGTAAGAGTTGTAGGTTTACTGGTTATCCAGTCACCTGAATTTAGAGAGAGCAAGGTTAGAATGCTCTTTACGAATATTTATGAATTCTAAGTTTCAATAATTACCTATGTTTCATCTCATCATGTAGGGACAATGTATTATAATATGTTGTTTTATTGAAAAAAAAACATGCTCTAAGAATATTTTTTTATTTTACGCTACAAAATACCCCTGTCCAATTATTGAAACCACTTAGGATCTGTTATTTTTTCTGATTGTTTCTGCCAACCTTGAATCAGTTTACTACCGGGTAAACTAACCAAATCTTAACAAGAGGTTTTAAAACAGCGTTTTGATTTTGTAATGTATAACAGGCTACTACCTAGTAATTATTGTTTATCGATTTTATTTTTTTAAGTCAATATTTGCCCCTAAGTACCCTTCTCTAAGAGGTTTTGTAGCTACCTATCTATATTAATTATTTAAGTTTTGCCTGTGGACGCCAGTATACTCAGATTTACAATTTGACGTAGGTAAATAAAGACCTCCACACTAAATCTGGATTGCCAAAAACGAATTGTTTCGTGGTGAGAATAGAATTGGCGGCACGTGGATCAGCAGCCTTTTGCATCGCCGTCGGTACTGCACCAACCTTGCAGTCTATGTTGACGAAGTTAGTAATTCACGGGAGCTGAGATTCTGTCGAAAATCTACCTACCTAACTTACCTTTGGCTATATCGTTAGAAAATCCCTGCAAGTCGTGCCGAACTGAACCTAGTACGAAGATGAATGAGTAGGTATCATTTTGGGACACTTATCCATGTTCTGGCCCACAGAAATAATAATTATTATTGCCAAAAATTAGATTTCTGTGATCTGTTATTGCCCACTCATTATTTCTGTGGGCCACTCACTGTAGTCTTTGTATATTATAGAAAATGTAGGAACTCCAACGAGATCGCAAAACTGGCAGAACGATGTACAACTGCGACAAATAAAATTCTTTTCCAAAAATGCTGTCAATCTGACTACCTACTTTGGCATTTCTACCTATATTTTTTTGGTAAATTTGTAATGGAAAGCAAAATTTACGAAAATTTCGATGAGTATTAATTGTGATGGAAAATTTATTTTTATTTGTCTAAGATATATATATTAGCTAATTATTCATCAAATATTTTGGAGCAATTTAAAGAGAAATGTTCTAAAACAGTTTTTGGAGTTCTGTCTTTTAATTGATCAGTGTGGTTTACATGTTTTGGTGTTGTAAGTTAATTTGATTGTTTCATGCCATGATATTCGTAAATTACATGTGTATTTGTTAAAATACCGTGATAAGTATGAGACGGCAGGGGTCCCGGAATCAGTACTTAACTGTTGGCATTTAAAACTGTCCTTATTTGATGATAATGCTTATGCTAGTAGGTATATTAAATAGTCATCTTATGAATAGATAAACCGAAAATGGTCTTCCTTATTTTTATTTTCCCTTTTCAGGTGAAATCATGTTATAACGCAGTATCTGCATGTGACGTATATGACGTTTTATTTGTATATGTGTGTTCGTGTGAAATCGATTGTAATTGCCTTCTAAATATTACAAGTAAAAGCCTCCAAAGGAAGCTCTACAATTATGAGTCCATTACACAGACTGCCAGTTTATAACGATTCTAGTATGTGCACTACATATGACTCCAATAGTGAAACAGACGATCGAATAATCTCAGAATTATTAGCACAAGAATCTCAATTGTATAAAGTCCTAAATGCAAGATATTCAATACCTTTTAAAGAAGAAAAAATATTGAAAAAAAGATTTAAGACGCAACCATTGTACGACTTTCTCACACGCCAATTACCCTCAAGTAGTGCAAGCAATGGAAGCAAAACTGATATGACAGTTAGACCATTATCCATAAATTATCGAAAAGCTAAGAAGAATAACAAGCAATTTATGATAGACAATAAAGTCGGAGTTTCAGGGATGAAAGCAGTAAATGATACTTGTAGTTGTTGTTTATGCTCTTTGAATACCCAACTTCACGAATATGTTCAGAAAAGACGACGAAATCGGCAAGCGCATATTAATGAGAATATTGCATCCAGATCCAGCCTTGCCTCCAAACAAGTAAATGGCAAAACTAAAAATATTAAATCAGACCCTTGTACATGTGCTTGTAAAAAGAATAGTCAGGAAAACCAGAGAAAAAGCCTTTGTCTGAATTTTCAGGTCGAACAACCAGAGATAAGACGGCGAAATCGATTTTTAATTCATAACAAAAATAAAATTTTATTACCTAATACTGGCAAACATAAAAAATCTTGTCATAAGCTTAAGCGATGTAATTTTATACCTTTCATGGAAGATATTGGTGAAGGAGGAATCACAAAGCCACAAACAATGACTAAACGATTACGGGTTAATAATAGTAAGGACTTAGAATCAATAGAAATGTTTAAGTTTCTAGAGGAAGAAATAAAACATTGTGTTAATTCAGATACTAACGCTTCATCGAAATTAACACCTGAACAACGTAAAATTTTACAAAATATTCTAAATGGAAACAATAAATACGCCTTCATAGATAGTCTTATCACACAATTGATTAGTAAATCTCCCTTAGGTCATACACAGAATACAGAAACTGTTCAAAGAAGTGAGATTAGAAAATATAAGCAATTCGACAATGGAAGTGATACTCACGCCCCTTACATGGCAACTACAGGTGATAGAAAAACGAAACATCTAACTGATCGTTTAGTATATGCACTTAAACAACAAAAGACTTCGACAGCGAATCCTATCAAAAATAATGAAACTCTTGTAAATATGTTACGATTATCAAATCAGATACATAAACCAAAAGAAAACAATACTGGACTTGTCCGAATGAAAAGTCAATCTTCCGAGTCGCTGGGATCAGTGTTATCAACATTCTCAGTAATTAATACGACTCCAATCAAAGACCAACATTTTACATTTAATGACGTAGAAAAAGAAAATAAATCATCAGTTAGTCTTATCAAATCAAATACCTCGGGAATGATACTTAAAATATTAAAATCGATTTCTACGAGCTCCATTGACAAGAGTTCGCAGCTTAATAATGTGACTTTACCTAACAAGCCTCCGTTAATTTTATCGTACAATGTAAGTAATGTTACTTTGAAAGTAAATCCTTCGACTTCATTTCACCAAATGGTTACAATGTTATCAACGCCAATGCAATTCAAAAGTGCACAGCGTCTTGTGCATGTGTCTCCTAGTCTTGTGAAATCATCGAGCGAACTTCTAAAACCTGAGGAACAACGGCTAGACCAGGAACCCAATCTTCACAAAGAAACACCTCAATCTCAGATGATAGTAGAGTCTACGCTACGTTTTCACACAAAAGACAGTTTGCAAGAAATGGTCAGTTTAAATCAGGGACCAGATCAAAAAACCGATTTACAACAGCAATTTGAAGTTCCCAAGAATACATCTAATATAAAGGTTGGTAAATCTAGCAGCAATGTTTTAAAGAAAGGTGGCAATTTTAAAACCAAGGTTAAATGTGCTAGATTTAAGATTAGTAAAAGAATTACAAAAGAATACAAAATACAGAAAAGTTCAAAACCGAAGGTGTCCGCACTGAAAACATGGATAAAAATGAAAAAATACTCTTTAATATGTGAACACTCCTTTAGTTGTAAAAGTCTAAATATCAGAAAGCGAAAGGGAAGAAAAATGTATCCGTCTCATTATAATTGTTTCAAAAGGCAGACTGAGCAAAAAGTGCCAGTTCAACATGCATCTATGTCTGTATGCTATAATCCTAGTAAGAAAATTGAAGAAAAGTACCTTGTGAAATCTGACATAGTTTACCTAGAAAAAATTGAAACCCAGGGTGAATGTAAATCCTACTTAAGCGCCGGTGTTACTAAGAAAGCAAAGAGCCCGCATATGTTTTATGAATCTAGTAGACGTCTAGAGACAAAATGTAATTTAAAAGATGCATCTATTGGGAGAGACGAGATAGTAATATATCAAAATCAGGCTATTCAAACAATCAATAGCGTGCCGCCATATTTACCAAATCAAACGAAAGTAATTTGTGAAGACAAATCTACTAGTGATCACGGTCCTATAAAAATTGGCATATTACCAGAAAAAAGTAAATCAAATTCTTCGAAACAAACATTTCACATGGTAGTTTTAAATAAAGGTTTTGGTAACTGTGGTTTTAAAATTACCAAAAACAGTGTCAAACCTTTCTATCATACTGGCAGCAGAATCAAACAAGTAAAACACAAAAAGTCACAACGAAAACTAAATATTCAACCAGAAAAATCTAGAGGTGCATTAAAAAAAGTCGCTTTTCCAAAATACTTTAACATTTTAAATTTCCATAAACTAAAAATAAAAAATAAGGAAAGGAACCAAGTAAAAAAGAACATAAATAAAAAATATGTTGTAATTGAAACTGCTTCAAGTAAAGAAAATACTGTTTGCATAGATTGCTCGATGAACAGAATTTCCAAATGTAATTCCGACTTTTGTGTGCCCATAAAATGTGATCTCCGAATTAATTCAGACAAAATTCAGTCGAAAAAAATCAAAAATATTGTTTATGAATCAGGAGCTAACACGAGGTTAAGTACACAATCAGCTCATTTTCCCGGAATCAAACATATAACTTCTATTATTTTCCATAAAACTATAATTAATCCAATCAATAAATATGCCCACTCTGTTAGAACATTCGTTAATTGCTTACGTTTACCATTTGATATACATTTTAAGAGACATGTAATAAGCAAAGGAACCAAAGTATTAAAACCTAATAGCGTAATAAAAGACTCACACATGTGTATAACAAAAATATTGGATAAGAAAAAGCAAGACAGAATTAAATCACTCGGTCCCAAAATCAAGCGTTGTTTATGTACTTTTAAGTTACACAAGGGGGGAAAATATAACAAGCGAACTGGTGAAGTAACCACAGAATCACAATCCAATATTGCAAATTGTACTATAAGCACAAAACCGAAACATTCAAAACCATTTATATTATTATGTATGCCTCACAAATGCAATCCTCATAAGTATTCCGAAAATAAGCAAAAAAATTCAAAAAGTTCAGGACTATGCAGTAAAAATATCGAAACAATATATGATTCAAATTATACGCGTAATTTGTCTGTTGACAATAGGACGATAAAACTTTTATATGTTAATAAGGCGAATTCCAAAAAACGTTATAAGTCATTGAAAAAATTGAGGAATTTGGGCGAACAAACAGAATTAACACAGTATTCCAAGTATGTTGAAGGAATCCATTCGAAAAATTCTTTTGTGCACATTATTAGTTCTCATAAAAACAAGGTATTGGCAGCAGATGATAATAATCAAGAACAAATGACAAATAAAAGTAATTTGAATTATATCAAAAAGAAACAAGTTAATGAGACAGTTTTAAATAAGTACAGTTATAATAAAAATAGATGTACGTGCAGTCATGGAGCTAGTTCGGATTCAGGCAAACCTCTTTGTACATCAAACATATTGAAACTTGACAAACAACGTTGTGGTCGTAAATTGTTTGTTCCAAGGACACTCACAAAAGTCTATACAGTTAATTCTGTGGCTTATGGCGATTCCAAAATGACACCTGATATCTCATTGAAAAATACTTGCTGTGGTACAAAAAAAGAAAGGATACCATTTGAATCTCAATTTAACTGCAAGCTTAATCATGTGTCGAAAAAAATTCGTTTGAGAAGCGCACAATCACCAAGTAATGGAGCCGATCAACGTCAGGGTACAATGAAGAGTCGAGAAACATTGATAACTCGAAAGGAATCTATAAATCATGCTCAACTGACTGGTGTTCTACCACTTATAAGAAGATGTTATTGTACAATGAATGTACAGGTAGCAGGTCAAAATGTCACAAGAAAACACCATTATCATTCACCAAGACTTGAACCTATACCCTATCCACACCAAAATTGTGTTAAGAGGCGATTGGTCAGGAAAACAACTACAATGTCGGGTACTAATAGAACATTTAACACTAGTTCCAGTTCAACACCTACAGTAAGTTCAGATTCAAGAACAAGAAAATATTATTTGTTAAGACATAAAGTCAAGCGTTGTACTGCATGTACGAGACCTGTAGTAGGCTTTAAGTACCAAATATCGCCACGATCTCGACGGCGCCATAAACAGGATGTGCCGATTAGTTATACATCGGGCTCCATTAACGATTTTTCTGAACCTAAATTAAAACTAGCACATACAATTAGAATGCCTAAGGATCAAACTGCTTCCAAGTCTTCGAAATCCTACTATAGATATATTAGAAACAGCAGTAGAGGCGATCATGAAGTTGGTAGATGCCAAAAACAATCACAATCATTGATGTCGCAACTGTGTTATAGAGCTTCGAATGTTACGCCAATGTTGAGGCGATGTTTTTACTCATTGAAATTACAAAAAAAAGGAAGACTCCAAAAAAAACGTGTGATGCAACCCATGAACCAGAGTAAACCTAGATTTACTAAAGTAACAGCAGATAAACGAGCTCTCAAAACTATACAGAATATGAAAAAGCATCGTTATGCTGAATTAATACCATATGAATACGCAACTAATACTTGCATTCCTGGCGAATGCGACCCTGTCTGGTTAGAAAAAAAGAAAAGGTTAGAATTGAGAAAGAGCAGACGTAAACAAACTAAAGACTTTGTAGTAGATTCAAATATGTCGCATTTTTCAACTCCTTCAATTATAAAAACAAGTTGGAAAAGAAGAGAAAAACATATACACTTTCATGATCTTGGTGGTCACCTAAGACCAGTCAGATCTAGAAATATTTTAGTTCGGCCTAACCCTCCTAAAATAATTATCAAAAACTCAGGTACTCAACGGTCAAGACAGCCAAGAGTAAATTCCAGATTCAATTTCAATGAAGAAAAAATATATGATTTAAATAAAAAAGAACCTACAAATTTTCGAAAGTATGCCTATACACATGGAAAAATGAAAGACTCATTCTCACAAGACGAGAAACCAAAGCGTGATATAGATGTACAGACTGTTTTTCATAAGCAAAGTCAGTCTAGTGGGTTCCTGAAACGATGCTTTTGTGCTTTTAAGTGTTTAACTACCTCTTTAAAACATCGTGGTAAACCTGATAACGTGGGGCACGAGAGAACTTCGCTTACGTTAGAAACTAATATAATAAATACACAAAAACGCGATCTCATCCCAACCCTGGTCACATATGACTGTGAACCACGTGTACGTGGACATTGCAAAACTCATCAATTAGGTAAATTAATCGATAGAAGACGAGTAAAAGATAAAATGGGTAGTACTACACAATCAAGAACAAAATCAGCAACATTTTTTTCAGTAATTGCACACGATAAATCTGCGGGTACATCAAAAAGAGGTAGAAAACCCGAAAGTTTAACCAAAGAAATATTCTTTGAAGAAACTAATGTCACACCTCAGTTTTTTCCTCGAAGGAAAACTGTTAAAATCTGTTCAAATACTAGCTTAAATGGTGATTTTTTTAAAGATAAATTTCCAAACTATCCGCTTGTCCAAATAGCACCACTCAAATATGCACGTCCTAAGAGGAATAAGAGTCATGCAGTAAATTATAAAAAAAGAACTAAGAAGAGAAGAAAATCAAGAGAAACAGAATCATTTAAAAATGAAATGCATGACGTTGTGCCTAAAATCAGAAATAATGGTTTGGGGCTTAAGTTAAGACGATGCTTTTGTACATTAAAATTTCCTAGACACAAATTAATGTCAGAAAATGTCACAATATCTCCTAAAACAGAAGTCACTTCTTTATACAAAAGAAGAAATGTCATGACGTCAAAAAATCATAGGCGTTTGGAACATTATGGATGCGAACCTGTAGTTTACGTGACGGGCAATCGCAATGCTTGCAAATGCGATAATCATGTCAAAAGGCTAGGTATGTATGTGACCTTGTCAAAAACATTAGCAGAAAGGGACCCCTCGAAATCAAAACTAAATGCTGAGCATGAGCTCAGGTTTAGCGATAATAGTGAACAATTTTTCATTCAACCGAAAATTACAAAAATAAGAAAACATCAACATGAAATAAGAAAGACACAATACATAACTAACGTAGTTCAAACGCCAAAACGAGCAAGTAATGATTTTAATACCGATTTTACCGATAAAATAGCTAACGGTCATTTTATAAACTCCAGACCAATAAAACAAAATGTTACCTACAAGCAGCCGAGACTATACCCAAACAAATCGACAAGTATCTCGTTGGTATCTTATAGAAACAGCAAAGAACAGCATGAACGAGCGCTGCTTGACACGGATTCTCAAGTTCTTACTCGTAAAATGCATTCAAAAATGACAGGAGTTGGACCTTTCTTAAAAAACTGTTTTTGTACTTTGCAGCTGCATAAATCGCCCAAAGGTCCTTTTTCCCTTGATATCAATGCAGAAAATACCGAGAAAAAACCAAATCAACTGGAGACCTTCAGTCCTGATAAGGCGACACATGCTACAAAACCGTATAATCTTCATAGTCACCAAGTTGGACCTAACGATTGTAAGCCTGGCGTCTGTGTGCCAGGTCGGTGTGACACTTATGAATGTGAAAAACGAAAGCTGAAATCTAAATTCTCTAATCGTGATCCATTTAGAAATAGATCAATATCTAGTTCTGAACAAGAGAGAATAATATCTACTCAAAAAAAAGTGCGTACTTATTACAGAGGTGATGGTCTTAACCGACACAAAAATGAGCGCATGGGTGAAGAACCAATGTATGGTTCGGGAGCACATCGAAAATCTGTTCTAGTTAGATCAAGTTTGAGTTTGAATATTGACTTAGTGTCACTACAGAGTCCATCAGTTTGTGTTAATAATAAAATTACCAAAAGAGTAATAAAGAGTACAGAAACAAGCTCGACTAGAACCACAAGCATTTCCAGCAGCGGTAAAAAACTGTGCCTTCGGGATTGCCAATCCCAATCGGACTGTATAAAAACAAATTGTAAAGCATCTCGTGCTTCATTACTGCAAAGGTGTTTATGCACATTAAAATTACAGAAAAGGGGAAAACATGCCCCTTTTACTAAATCTATCGGAACTGATGCCACTAAGCCAATGATTGTGCCGGGAGCTCGCGAAATAGGAACGAAAACAAACCAAAAATATCAATATGTTCTCGAGCCTTACAAATGTAGGCCCGACATTTGTGTACCTGGATATTGCAACCCTTATGATTGTAAAAAGAGAAAAAATCTAGAAAATATGAGACACTCGGGTATTGGAACTACCCGCACCACAAAGTCGATGTCAAGTGTTACATCAAGAGATGTAGATATAAAAGGAATGAATTCTTATAAACAAAAGCGAAATAAACGACGAACTGCTTCCATGGAAACAATTTATCGAAACGAACAACCACATCAACTTTCTTATGTAAATAATAGACATTGCCAGTCAAAACGTTGTGAATCTAATAATCGAATTAACATAGATTTAATGAAAGAGGCAAAGGTGGGAAAACGTAATTCGTATAAATCAGAAAAACCAACCAGGCCCGCTAAATATAAATCAAAAGGAAGCATCCACATACCAAATAAAATGAAATCAAAAGGTTCAATTGCTCAAAATCCATTACACGACAAATGGTCACAGGTAAATGTCAAAAAGGAGTCTAAAGGCTCCACCGTGAAACCTAAACTAAAACGCTGTCTTTGCACTTTAACACTTCAAAGGCTTGAATTTAAAAATCGTCTTCGGTCACTTGGGATTTACAAAGAAGAAGCGAAAGTTCTCACTACTGACAAAACCACGTCTACTAAGAAACAATATTCATCACATCCTTCTCAACCACAACCACTTGATCGTAGAAGTAAGGAAACTGAAAATTATACGCCCAGAGAATGTAAACCTGGAGCGTGCGTGCCAGGAGAATGTGACCCGTCTGAGTGTCTTGAGAGAAACAAAAGACAAGGAGTCAGACGAAAGTCTCGAAAAAGTGGTACACGTAGGAGAAGAACTTCTCAAGTGTCAGTAGCCAGTACGACTGCACAGTTTTTTCCAAAATATTTATGTAAAAAAACACAACATGAAAATTTCTGTATACCGCAAAAAATTGACAGAATTGTAGAAGAGCCACGATTCCCATTCTTTCGTAACTTACGACATAATTTGAAACGAGGCGTTAACATTTCTTCGAACTTCAATATCAACATTGAATTTTACAAAGAAAAGTTACCGTTCACGATAAACGAGGAGGTAAATGAAAAAGCAATATGTCGTAAAAACGCATGCGTAGAATGCAAAAATCCGAATAAGTTGACCAAAACTGGCTACACGTGTACAAAAAAATATTGCCGTGACCGAGAATGCCAATCACAAACACCTACAACAAAAGACAAATCAATCACCGTTGCAATGATAAAACGGTGTTTCTGCACCTCTAAATTGCGTGGATCACATTTGAACAAGTCAAATCGAAGTCAATCAATTACTGTTGCTAGAGTAGAAGAAATAAGGCCTAACATATTATTTGGACAGCGGGAATACTATGTTCAATACCAAATAAGACAGCCCGCTAACAAACCTAACACAATGAACCTACCAGAAATTGAAACCGTGTCTTATAAATATGACACAACTAATAATTTTTGCTATCCTACATACAATAAATACAACAAATTAAATTTTGATAAGAACTCCTATTGTTGCAATATTTTGATAAACAACCAATCAAATGGAAAAATTATTAGTCATAATCAGAAACAGCGAAAATTTAACTATCTATTAAAATCAAATAACGAACTGCCGTTTACTGACATTTTGAAATCTTCAAAAAGTGAATACCATTCGAATAAAGTCGTTACTGAATGTTTAAAAAAAACCAAAAGTCTTAAAGTCGCCAAAATTTATGACAATGTCAATATTATAAAGAAATATTCTCCATTTCAATCTGGAGACGCAACCAGCGTCGGCCAATTTGAAAAAAAATCGGGCTTGAAATTAGATATCAAAGAAGTTTGTCCAAATTGTCTAGTTCTCTTAGAGCAAACTGTTGCTGTTAGGAAAAAGGTTCGCTTTGCGGCTGTGTGCAGTAATATAACAGACAGTGCAATAATACGCAAACAAAAAGACAACATAACTCCGGTTTACTTACTGTTCAAAAATAAAAATTTTAAAAATCGTAATCGTAAATTGTGTTCTGTTTGTGGACGCCCTAAGCGAAAAACTTATTTTGATCCTACTAGTCAGGATTTAAAGTTTGAAGAATTACAATCTTTTGGAAAAGCCTTAACTTTAAATAAAGTAGTAGACTCTACCTCCAAAATTTGTAAATTCGTCGAAAAACTTAAGAAAAAACATAAAGTATCTTGTCCTTGCTCCATTTGTCGGAAACATAACCCGGTTATGACTAGACCTATTATTCGGGTTTTTGATAATAAGGATGGCTTATACGAACGTGGACAAATGATGTGTAAAAAACACGAACGTGATGAACCACGAATTTCAGTGACCCATTTGGATGGCAAAAACAATACAAGTTGGAAATGTGATTATAAAACCACAATTTTACCAGCAGAAACTGAAAAAAAGTCACCGGCATTAGAATACATTTACATTCGTCCTCGAAGAAAAAAGAATAAAAATAAAGAAATACAAAACCAAGAAAAACATCACGACAAAATTTATAAAGAAAAAAATATTAAAAACTTGCGTAAAACGAACAGAAAACACATGACAAACATAAATAAAGGGTGTAAAGATAAAACCGGCTCAATAACTAAACCATTTTTAGGAATGAGGAAATTAGTATATAATGGTATTGGAGGCGTTCTACCTACTTTTCACAGGGCAATATTTATTCCTCGATACATATACCAAAACATTCAATCATTTATGCGAGAACCATTTCGTGTATCGAAAGATATTATCAAAAAAACTAAATACGGCCCTGTTGCTGCAATACTCAAGCAATTCAAATTGGGGTCACATACAATAAAAGTTATTTTTCCGGCCAAAGTAGAGACAAATATAATCACGACAACAAGTGCAGTTACTATTTGAAATGTTTATTTTGATTGGAATACAATATGTTTGCTAGGAAACGCGTGTATTCCATGAATTACACTTTTATATGCAAAAGTTGTTAGGCCAATCCGATAAGGTACAGCGGCACATTACCTTAAAGGCCCTAGACTAAGTTCTACCCACATCATGACTGACTTATTCTAGAAGTTTATCAATGGTGTATTGTATGTATTGTTAACTGTAAAGTTTTCGTGTGGTTTTGTGATCGGAGCTAATGCTCGTTAATTTTGTAATTTTGTTATGTTGCTGTTAAAAATAAAATTTTCGTGATTACTACGCCTGTTTCATTTTTCTACACAGACTTTCACACACATAAATGAACGCGTTACTGTATGCAAAACCATTACAACTGATCTATAAGTGTAATGTCCTGTACCCTGTCCGTCTACGCATCGATGATTGCACCCCAAAGTTCAATGACCACAAAGCCCCTAAAGTTTTAGGGTGGTCCGGCTTAACTGCACTAACTATTAACGAAAAATGCACTTTAGTAATATATACACAGGTACTATCTATTATAAAAAATGCACAACACCTTGTAACAAATTCATTAGAATTTATTTCTCCTTTTTTTTTATTTATTTTATTTATTTTATATCTCAAAGATCTTCGTTAGAATCTGTATAGTACAAAAACTTTATACATTTTAGCGTTCTTCCTATGTTGACAAACACGAGAAAATTTGATTATCTCGTCGTACTTTGTCTCGGTGTGGTGACTCATACCTATAATTTGATAAACATTGTTGACTATTCAAATTGTGATTCACAATGAAAAAGAAGTACCTATTAGTTTTTCACATTAACTTTGATCATTTTGCAACTAACACTTTTTCATAGACAGATAGGATGGCTGACAAACAACCAACTACAAAACTTACGTAGAAAAATATACTGTTTAAAAATCTGGTACCTTTTTTATAGTAATCTTTCTAACCGATATCGAACTTACAACCCGACCTTTTTTAAATAGTTAACACATCACGAAATCGGGTTTCAACGGAACACACTGCGTTCAAAGTGCGAAAACAAAAGAGAGCAATATCGACCAAACCCTCAAAAGTGAGAGGGAGAGCCACCCTCTTTATGAGTCAGAGGGGAGGACCCTTGCACGTAGATATTGCGGTACCCACCCTTAGTACAGTACGACTCATGCACTCCACGGCCCACGCTCATATCTATCGATCTGAGCTTTTAGTTGATCTGCTAATAAGTTTGTGTTTTAATAAAATATTATGAAGTGTATAAGGTTTATATTTTATGTTTTCCCAACGTATGTTGCCTAAATATAATCAAACAGTTAATGTTTAACGATAACTTTAATAGTTTTGTTCACCTTTGAAAACATGAAAACAAACTGATTTATTTAAGCTTTGTGTGAATAACATAGGCCCTAAAAGCGTACCATGCGCAATCCATTGGATTTAGTCACCGTGGGCCGCGGCAATGTATTTGTCGATTTGTTCATTAGCATATTTCTACGTTGTTCCGTCGCAGCTGTCACAGTACCGGGGGAAACGAACAACGAAATTGGTTAACACCAGAGAATATGTATATACTTAACTGTGCATATATTCATAACTGTACCTACATATAGTTGCTTAGGTTATCATTCAAATGCATTAGTAAGATCTAAAACGTATTTTAACTTAGGTGATCAAAGAAAACTAGCATAAACAATGTTAGCGAATTGGCATCGACCTTATTAAGTTTTTCTTTATACATACATAAAAGTGTGTACTAATCCTTTAATAAATCTTAATCAATATACCACTCACAGTTGCCAAGCCTAATACCTTAGGCGGTGTGTAGAGAACCGGATTCGTCGGCCGGTCATTAGATTGTATTGATAAAATATTATTATTGTGACGGTTATAAGGACTTCATTTAAAAGAACAGGTTTTTACTGATAACATTTTTAGTAGCGCCTTAACGTTATTAAATAAGTAATGTGTTCTTGGGAATAATCTGGATTTATAATCCAAATATATAGATAAATACAAACACAACAAACAAAAACCTAATTAATTTGTGCTAGATATTAGTTAGGTAACTATTTCAAACCCGACAATTGGGCCTACTAATATTATAAACGCAAAAATGTTTAAGTATGTGTGGATTAATAGATAAATAGACCAATGGATAGATGGACGTTTGTTAATCTTTCACCTAAAAACTACTTAACGGATTTTGATAAAAATGGCACAGAGATTGAGAGAGGACACCGTTCCAAAGAACATAAAGTGTGTATAACGCAAGCGCACACACTTTCAGCCGCTGGCAGAAGCTAATATCACGCAGCTCATTTATCAAACATAATACAGTATAATGAAATTGCACACGCCCCTCGTAATTGAATACGACTACAGACGTCAAAGTTTAAAAAACCACCAAATCAAGTTCCTTCTCCATTTAATGTCGGCTCAAAAGCAGCCCCTCGAATAATATTCGTAAAAAAAAGTTTTTCTCGCGTGCTATGAGGAAATGTCTCGTGCAAACTTTGGGGGAACTGAATAGCATTGCACTTTACAATATTTCACTCGTGAGACTAGAAGATATTGTATTTTTTATTGTTATTACCGAAATTAGATTCAGTATGTCTCAGGCGTATTGCCGATATTTTCTTTGTTTTCTTGTTTATTAGACTTGTTGCGTCGAAACAAAGGTATAAAATATAGCATGCATCCAGAATTAATAATGTTGTTCCTATTTTGAAATAATGGTACTTATAACATTATGCTTTTGCTTCTAAGGGCAAATTTTCCAATAGTCAGATAAATGTTTTCTGCGAAATAAAATTGTTGCTGTCACTGTCTTATGCAAACATTCTGGCGCGACCACACCATGATTATTCCCCAGATAACTTTTATGTAACCATTAAAAAAACAACCCTTAGTCTATAACTGCATAATTTACAACTGTTCTAAATAAAGGTTTTTTTGTTAATAGG